GAGACTTCCACATTCACTGGAGATAAACATACATTATTAAGAAAACATAAATCCTAATGCATCACCAAAGGATGCTTCATAGTGAATTTATTTATAGAACTTTAATAAAAGGATATATACTGATCATTCCTCCCTTGGAAAACATAGTGAAGGCTTGTTGGATTTACTAATCCACGGTATAAATCTGAATACCTAGTATAGTTGGAGAATGTAATCATTTGACTGGTTGTTACATCCTATCTTATGGTTAATAAATGTAGACTCCAATGTTGTATGCCTGAATACATGTTACTGGTAACTGGTGTAGGTAGGGTTGCCACCTTTGTTCTGGCAAAATGAGGAACAGGGCCAGGGTAGGAGGTGGGGGACACAGCGTGCCAATCTGTACATAGTAGGCTAAAGGACACTGACATCTGCATTAAAATGATGATGCCACCTCTCCTTGACTCTGTAGGACAAGTCCACTTTAACATCAGGAGTCCCCCCCTTTCGCACCAGGAGGCCCCTTCACATCAGAGCCCCCCCTTCCATATGAGGATCATCCTTCACATCATAGTTTGCCCTTTACATCAGGATCTCGTCCTTCACATCAGGAGCCCCCCTTCACATCATAGACCCCTCTACATCAGGAGCCACTCTTCACATCAGGTTCCCCTGCTTCCCATCAGGGTCCCCCCTTTACACCTCTACCCCACCTTTCACACCAGAGCCCGCTCCCTGCACATCAGGAACCAACCTTTAAATCACCAGAGGAATACAAGTAGATGTCCTGTAGCTTGACTTTGCTAAAGCAATTTTATCAAAACCAATAGACGTTGTATGTACATGGGTGGAAAACTGGCTGCGCAAATGGATTCAGAGAGTTGTAATAAATGGTTAATTTTCTTATTGGGCAAAAATTGGGAGTGGGGTGCCCCAGGGTTCAGTCTTGGGACCAATTCTGTTCATCTTATTCATAAACGACATAGAAATTGGAATAAATAGTTGAATCTCAGTGCTTGTGGATGCTACTAAACTGTACGGGACAGTAAAGATGGCACATGTGATTTAATATTGAAAAATTCAAGGTCATGCACGTGAGCAAAGAATGCTCATGCAAACTGCTACTTAGGGGATGCTCCACTGGGGAAGTCTGACATGAAGAAAGACCTGGGTGTCCTCATAGATCACAGATTCAGCAATAGAATGCAATGCCAAGCAGTGGCTTGCAAAGCAAACCGGATACTATCCTGCATTAAAAGAGGGATTTTGGTAGGAACGACATTCTCTCTCAAACTTGAGAGTTCAGAGAAGGGCTACAAAATTCATAAAGGAGATGGAAGGCCTGAATTATGAGGATCACCTCCAGAAATTAAACCTTATAAAAGAGGCGCTTAAAAGGGGACTTAATTGAGAATTTCAAAATTATTAATGGGGACCACAATATCTGAAATAAGATGTTTACAACGAGAATGCTATTGATGACATGAGGACACAGCAAGCGGTTAGAAGAGAAGGGGTTTATTCTTAAGATTGTGCAAGGGTTTTTTACTGTGAGAGTAGTCAAAATGTGGAATTTCCTTCCAGTCAGCAGTGTCTGCTGATAGCATTGATAAACTCAAGAAACTTTTAGATGAGTTTCTTAGTTCAGTAAATATACAAGGATATGGGAACTACTAGAGCAAAGTATATACAGGCACATACACGTTGAAATGGGTGGCCCTGTGTCTTTATTCAACGTTACCTAAGTTACATACAAGAATGCACCACAATCTATGAATTTGGACAGACTCAGAGCATGGGCACTGATACCTGTTGGAAAAAGGAAAGTGATTTAATGATAACTCCATATGGTTGCAGAAAATTAATTTAGGATTTGGGGTTGGAGTTGAAAGCTTGTTGTCAGAATTTGGCAGGCAGGATGAGATTTTGAATATATAATGTCTACAGAAAAACAAAAAACCATAGGCCTTACCATGATCACAATGAACTCAATCAGCTATCCCATGGACAAACGGTTCTTGGGGAGGGGGGTGGAGTTAATTTCAGTATAGCCCTAAAGCCACTGCCTTCTTAAACTTTAGATTGAGATCTATTAAGATTAGAAAGTTAAGTTCCAAGGCTTCAATCGTGTGTATTAAGTATTCTTCTATTGAAGGGTAATTGGATCAATAATTCAGCAATGACCCATTGATGGACAACCTGACTTTCGGGTCCTAAGGAGACACCTCCTTTGGCATTGGAGTCTGAGGAAGAGATTATTCCTGAGGGAGGTGTCCATTATGGGTCTCTAGCCGTCCTCTTGAATTCTTTGAACGGTGGAGGTTGTATTCACTATGTACAACTATAGAATTTCGACATGGGCCTGGAAGCTTATAATCGTTTTATGGAATCTCAGCTAAGTTTAGAGGCTTTAAAGGCAATCAGCCTCAGCCAATTCCATGTGAAGGACTAGCCTCTCTGAAGAGTGAAAGTACCAGACCTGGTTCTGCTTGTCCATGATAGGTGGAGGACAGGATTAAAGAGGTACTAGGTGAAACTGCTTGCTTATTGAAATGTTGTAATTATCATTGTTTTATTTTCACCCGACAACCTCAATTATCATTTTTTAATCTTTAATAATATGGAACACTTGTAAACCATCGTCACTCAATGACTGCCCTAACTACTGATTTTAAGGCCATTTACTAATGTCTCTTTTGCTTTATATTTATTATATATTGCCCCACCACTTTAACAACAGTAACAGCACCAACTCTGTCTCTAGACCTCACTGATCTGGATTCCACCATAAGGATGCCATTTTCCTCTTCCATGGAAGAGTAAAGAGCCAGGATCCTACAGGTGATTATGTAATTTCACTCTAAAGGTGGCCATACACGTTACAACCATCGCAAGACCCTAGTCTTGCGATGGTTGTAAAGTACTTAAAAAAAACGTACGATGTGCCCATCTTGGACAGGCAGATCGTACTCTCGATCATCGCAATGCTGAACTGGCAGTGTGCGCGTGCGCACACTGGCCCGTTCGGCATTTGTCTCCCGAGCACCGTTCTAACCAGCCGAAAATCGTACGATTTTCGGCTGGTTTTCTAGCGTGCTCCTTAGACAAAAGACGAAACGGTCGCACGTCTTCGTTCACACTCCTCGATTCTCGTACGATCGCCGGATTTCCCGCGATTCTTGTACGAGAATCGAGCAGTGTATGGGCACCTTTACATGGCTAAAGGGGTGAAATAGCATTGCTGCACAGCTCTCCAGCTTAGGAAGTGAGGTCCTAGATCACATGTTTAATTATGATAATTCTGATAAAGATTAGATACATATATAAAGTCTTACAGATACCTTTGAGGGCAACCATATTGTTGATGTGGCCCATGATTAAATTGAGTTTGACAGCCCTGAATTAAACAAAAAGTCTACCTTGGTTTAAAGGTCAAGAATAATTAATAGCTGGGAATCAGTTTTTTCCCATTCTCACTAATGAGGAAAAAAAAATTCTTAAAAGAAGCATATTCATTTAGTAAATGAACTACAGGCAGGAAATGTGTTGGGTTTGTAGATTTGGAATGCTTTTGCCCTTATTTTGTGATAGACATTTGTCATTTTGTATGAAAAATAGGTGCATCTTTATAGACATGTGTATTTTTTGCCCACTGTTTAACTTCCATAGCACAGTCTTATACTTCCTCTTTTTAAACTTGTGAGTAACTGCATGACTGTAAGGCCTGCCAGTTCCTTATGAAGTTTCTGGGCCTATCTTTGACCATCAGAAAAACCATGCCATGACAATGTGTATAAAAGGATTTTTGTTTCCCGAAGAACAGTGGAGTGTCCATTTTATAGAGGCAATGATTGTTCAGTATCTGCCCTCTAATTCTGCCAACCTGCCATGGACATCTTACCTTCAGTTGGATTTATTTAGGGAATAAATGATTACCAACATTTTGGCATTAACAAACAAAAATACTTTGATATAGTTTTATGCTATTATGCATGAACTGTTTCCCAATCATGTACAGGAGATGCTTCAAATACTGAATATTCAATATTTAACCAACTATACTTAAAAGTTTCATATTATATACCAGGTTATATTGCTGCAGTGTCAGAGTGACTGCTGAGAGGTATGAGGTAAATAAAGGAGCCGTGATTCCACCTACAGGCAATGCCTTGCCCATGCCCAAAATTTGCTTTTTAGTTTAGAAGAGTGCTCTTCCCTTTTGACCTTGAAAAGGAAATTCAAAATATCCAATGCATTAAGTGGGACATGGGGTTAATTAAAAAGGGTTAATTCTCACTTATTTTTTTTTCTTGTTTAGTTAATGCACAGGGGGAGGCAGTCCAGCATAAAACATTTACTGCATGCAGCCAGAGGAGAGCCTAGTACATTGATATTATATTGGATAGTATATTGGATAGCATTGGGGACTGGGGGAAAATTTTATATATTCCTGCACTTATCCTTTAACACTTTGTTCTCAACAGTGGCCCGGATCAATTTTGAGTCAAACCTGGGCTTTAAACTGGATGGTTTCACATTAAATGTGTCACCTTGCATAAATGCCTAACAGTACACAAAATGTACAATTTGACTGTTCTATTACCGACTTGTGCATTCTGGAGAAATGGGGGTGGCATGGTGTTCAGTACAACACCCCTATTCTGGCCAGTTTGGGGGTTCATCAGACCTCACTATAATGATATTCCATACAATACATGCGCATGCCCTTTCCAGGGGAAAAAAAATTGCACAAAGCAAAAAAGATTTGAAAGGTGCAACGCCCATTAGTAAAACATACTTTTTTTTCTTCATCTGGACCTTTTTCAACAAGGATATACAGATGCAATAGGGGTGCAAGGTAGTCAATAGGGAGGACTTTCCTGAACAGATCAGGATCACAGTATACCTATATATCCAACAGAACCGATTTTACGTTCATCACTCATAACCATTTATTCTACATATGTCAATTGAAATAAAACATTTTTCCCTTAGAATAAGACAAAAAACAATGAATGTTGCAATAATAGTTATTTATTCTCAGAGATTTCAGTTGCGCCCCTCACAAATTTGTAACACAGACTGAACGTTATTCTTTGCTTCATCCAATAGTTGCGTTGCTTTCTTTTGGGTCTGTAGAAAGGAAAAAAAAATAAAAAAATGTCAACTGCCATTCTCTGAAACATTTTTTGCCGTTTCAGAATGGAGGATTGCTTTCAACAAGTATATAGAACCAGACACACCATGCTCTTGTCTAGTAAAGCTTACAGTGCAAAGTCCCTTAATAAAAGAAAAAGCTCAGCTTGGATCACCCTTGCCAAAGTGTTATGGCTCTACACATACCTATCATGGGAAAGTGTGGATGATTATGGATGACCTCTCCTTTTCAGAATGCTTGGCCAATGCTTGAGTGTCATGCTCATGCAATTGCTTCAGTCATTCAGGACACTTAACTGGGCAAACAGTTTAGGAATTGCTCATATCTGTCTTGCTTTTGCTGAATGCTTAATCTGGCTTTATGACTCAGAAAATGTTGCCAGACTTAGCCAGGTAACAAGTATTACCAAGAGGGAACTATTCCCTACCCTGAACTCTATCTCTCCATCCTTTAGCAGTACAAATGTTCCTGTTCCCCAACACCATAAAATGCAAAGATCTCTCCTGTAAAGGGAGACTTCAGAGAGCAGAAGAAGTCTCTCTGGCCTGAATAGCAGAGAAGCATAGAAGACAATCAACAAAATCACTGAATGGTCAATTCAATTTGCTTTTTATTTATTTTACCCATTTTTGTCTGGTGATGGACCTATGTTTATCCCAAGCATGTTTACTGGATTTATTGTTACTGAATCACTACCGCTGCTAGAAGTCTGTTTCAAGCATCCACTACTCTTTTGGTAAAATACTTTGTAACATTACACTTGAACTATAAAATAGGGGGAATATGACAAGATATGGTCACATTTGGAAAGGATCGTGGATGCCATAATGGCCAGAACCTACATGTTCTCTTTATTACAGGATTTTAAGAACTGCAGTTTAGAAAACCTTTGCTGATCAAATGCTATTTTTTTTAAATGCTACTTAACTAACATTTGATCCAATAATACTTTCAAAATCATGTCCTAAAACAAGCATGCAGTTCCAAGACAGGGGCTGGAAATAATGGAGCCAGATATGACCTGATTACTACTGGGAATGGTTAGAGACTCAGACTGACACATGCTTTGAACTGGATGGACCTGTGAATTTTTTTTCAATCTGATTAAACTTTATAACAATGATCTAGAGCAGTGGTTCTCAACCTGTGTAACCTCAGGACCCACATTTGTCCTTGATCATTAGGTCGCGACCCAAGTCGCACCGCACTGGAACACGCGAAATAAGGGTACCGTACGTTCCAGTTCGGGCGTACGAACTGTGGGTGGGAGGTACGTTTGGGGTACCATTCAAATGAATGGCAACCCAACATACTTCCCACACCAGAATGCACGGTTGGTGCAATCGTATGGTACAGGGCGTTTATCGCACTGTACTAGTGTAAACGGGCCCTCAAAAACGCTGACATACATACACAATCTCACATACACACTCCAAAAAATATTTAATTATTTTTAAGATCCACCCAGTCTCCCTACCTTACGATAACTGGAGTTAATCCTCAGCCTGGGGTACAGTGTGGACTGCTGAACTGTGATGGAGCTCCATATGTGCATTGTACAGCTCCCTTGCATGCCCTGTAGAGGTGCCAGAAACCAGAATGTGAGGTCACTCAGGTCCTGGCACCTCTATAGGACATTTTAGAAGGAGCTGTAGGCAATGCACTTATGGATGGAGCTCCCTCACGGCCATAGCTCCATCCCACCTCATGCTGACACTCGGCACCGGGCAGCATATTTTGAATGGCTGCTTTGTGCGAGTACTGACAGTGCTGCTGCGCTAGGGGGGGCTGAGGAGCCTCTCACCTAGAAAAGTGGAAGGCATGCGGCGACCCACTGAACACGGGGGGTCGCGACCCACGAGTTGAGAACCAAGGATCTAGGAGGACCAAAAAGCATTTTCAGATCAATTATTGCTCTAGGGTGTAGGTCATTCAGCACTTGTTACCTGGCTTTTAAACTCCTCATCTTTGATCTCTCGAAGGTTGATAAGGACATTAAAATAAGCCCCAAACACTCCAGTTTCTAAAGCCTTTGCTGCCACCTATGAAAAGGATTACAAGGCATTTAGTCCTGAAACATTCAACATTTGTCAAAACAGAATGAAAATAGTATTTTCAGATGAGGGAACATAATGGACAGTTAATAAAAGTCTAATAGAATTCATGTACAGATTTGTAACAGATCAATTTGTAAAAATTACCTTTCTATATAAAAAATGTTGGGGCTACAGCTTTCCTTCTTACAAAACCGATATTAATCTGAATTTAGTAAAAGCGGGCTTTCTCACTTAGCAATCATTCTGAGAAAGTGAAGTGACCAGGCCTACATCAATCTACAAAACAGATAAAGATCTGCAGTAAAATCTCATGTGCCGTGCAACATTTATTTTTGAACTGAACAAGACTATAGCAGAAGTTAAACTAGGGAGAAGTGGACAGAACTAAGAGCCAATCAGGTGTGCTACATGCACATGTTGACAAGGTATATACTGGGAGAAGGCGAGAACATAGGGATGACTTCAAATTCTTTGTTACAAGCATTTGCATAGTGTCCTTAAGTTACACATTACTTTGCATATTGTAATTTCACATCAGTCCCTGCCTTCAAGTTATCTACAATCTAAAGTCCCTAAACTTCGCATACGTACACACTAGGGCCAATTTGCACAGCAACCAATTAACCTACGAGCAAGTCTTGAGTGTGGGAGGAAACCCGCACAAGGAGAACATGCAAACTCCATGCAGATAGTGATCTAGCCAGGATTCAAACTGAAAAAGTGCTAACGGCTAAGCCACTGCGTTGCCCTACTTATATTCTGCTGCTCAGCTTGGGGGCAAAGGAGGGTCAAACCTACTAAAAACTGCAGTAGAGAAAAGTCAAGTCACAGTTAGCCTGTGCATCTCAGGATAGGCTGGCTAAACTTATAAATCCTTTGGTGAGTAAAACAGTTTTTCCTGAGTTTAGGCTGACAAATTGTTACAAGATCTCCCAATAGAGACCAAGTGGCTATACCAATGCACATTACACAGTCACGGGCCACTGCTGTCACCATCAGAAAACCTGCCCTGTGAAATTATGTGCAGCAATTGTTTAACTGCACACATGTAGACAAGACGTGGCTAAAAAGAGGATGCCAAAGATCACACACACGCCCCTCTGAGGAAGCCCCGTGTGATTGGGGGGAAACGCGTCAGGGCAACGTGTGCGAAGGCTTCACTGGATACCCGCAGCAGACTCTCTTACTTCCCACATGCGGCCAGTGAGAGTGAAAACTACACTGTTTCCCAATCAAAGGGACGGAACCAGGACGGCCTGGACACTGTCTGGTCTGCAGCAGCTGACTAGCCTGTACAATTTAGGCTGAGATTGAGAAGTACGAGCGGACTGTTGCCACTCGATTTCCTTCAGCTTTCGGCTCTACCGCATTACGGACACACCGCCGTGGAGATTCCAATATATTTTATCTTGCCGTACGAGCTTGAAACCATCTCGGATGTTTCCTCCACGGATTGGAAACTAAACCCCGCGGGCAAGTGTAAGCATCGATCAGTGGATGGAGAGGCATCCCCAAGATCCCTGGCTTTTACAAAAAGGAGTTGGATTTTCTGGAATTGCTACTTAGCAGGCTTGCTCCATTGTGAATTATACATCAGCACAGGATCCTACGAGGGCTGTCCCCCACTTTGAACCACAAATGATGTGAGTAAGCTCAGATACAAAGTATCCACCTTTTGGCCATTGTGCTTGCACCAGTGACTATCTGCCGCTCAGATTACCACCCATACTGGGTCATCCTAAGGGAAGTCATTTTAATTGTTTTTAAATGTCTTGTTGTAGATGTTCTTACTGGTTTTTTTGTTATATTAAATGTTGTCATTTATAAATACTTTATATGTGTAAACCTGTTTACTAGACCAGCTCCAATTAGGGATTTTTTTGTACAGGGGATTTTCTAGTGTTGCACAGTCTATTTGAAACCCTGGAGATTGGTATTTACTCTTGCTGCATACAGCGTAGCTCCTTCTGTTCCCCGTAGCTTTTTTGATGCCAAAGATCACCAGCAGAGCAAATTGTCTGTTACTTTCCTACTTTAAGCTCCATTTACTTTACGTTTCCTCTTTTTCTGATCTTATTTGCCCTCAGTAAAAAAAATAAAAAAAAGCAATTCCTGAAATCAGATAGACCAGATAAACCAAGTTCTATACCTGAAGGTCAGATATACATGCATTATTGCCATGTTTAGAAAGCTCTAGCAGGGGCTTCCACAACGTGTTGACTTTCTCAGCCAGGCTTAATGGAACCCCCACTGCTTCCTTTAGACCATCCTGTAGAGCAGTGAACCGCCTACAAAAAAAAAAATCACAAGGTCATCAAAATGGGAGGGAACAAGTGTATGCTTTATTTCTCCTTACCTTAGTCATATTTTCAGCACAGACATTTAAAAAGCAAATGCGTAAAACTGAACTTTAGTTCAAAAGGATTCATGAGAGAAAATACTAGGCGTGGGCAAGAAGTTGCTCAGCAGTCACCACATCCCTCCACCACAGAACCATTACACACAAAAATCCCTTAGTTAAAAGAAAATTTGTAGTTTAGCCTGCCACTGACAACCACCCCTTTTGGAAATGCTAGTTGGCAAATCTGTATATTGATTTTAGAACTTTAAAAAAACACTGACCTGGGACAAGTATGCAGATCAGGACTTTTATCACTCCCCCTATTTTGCACATGCTTGATCCAGTTTAGTGCCTTAAAGTATTGAAGCTTGAGACAGACAGGCAGCTAGTATTTTCAGGAGTAGGTCTCTACTGGCAATCTATACATTACCGTTACTGCAGGTTTACTTTAAATGACAATTTAACTTTCAGTTTACATCAGCTGAATACATTCGAGGTGCATTAAAAAAAAAAAAAAAAAAAAAAAAAAAGGTGTTTGATTTCCTACAGCTCATGTCTTTAACAGTAGCTACAGCCCAAGTAGAAAAACAATGTCCCCTGCCAGCAGCTGCAGTGAAGTCCTTGCTTTCTTTGGGGAAGCAGTGGGCCCTTTGTAGGTGGCGTGTTGGACTTCTGCAAAGTTGACTAAGTGGACTCAGCTAGGGGGTGCGTCACTGCTTCCACGCAGAGAGCAAAATGTACTTCACTGCAGCATGCTGGGAGGTGAGACAGGCTTTTCTTCTCAGACTGTGGCTGCTTTCTAAAGAAAAACTAAAAAGTAGGGTATACACAGTATGTTTGTTCGACTTTCTAATACTAAACGGGGTTAAATCGATGATTTTGATTGCAATGATAAAGAGTCGAAGGAGCATGCTGAAGAATTTTTCTCAATTGAATGACATTTTAAAAACAGTGAATGCGATTTTCCTTCAGGAAAATCCATTCATTCCAACGTCAAAATGAAAATCAAAACAACATATGTCAAGTGTCTTATGGCATTATCAAAATGTTCCAAGGAGATTGTTGTTTGTACAAACATTCATTTGAAAATCTACCAGTGTATACCCTACTTGAGACTTTTGTCTTGCGAGGGTTGTAAAGTAATTAAAAAAACGTATGGTCTACCTGAGGGGCGGGCTTCCGATGACTGCAGAGAGGGGCGGGTTTCCGATGACTGCAAACGGGCAGTGTGCGCATGCGCACACCGGCCCGTTCGGCAGTTGTCAAACAAGCAGGCCACTAACTCGCCGAGAATCGTACGATTCCCGGTGGGTTTTCCAGCCTGCTTGTTCGACGGAAGACGTGCAACCGTACAATAGAAACGGTCGCACTCCTTCCATACACTTTGCGATTATCGTACGATCGCGGGATTTCCCACGATTCTCGTACGATAATCGTGCAGTGTATGGGCACCTTTAGTCTGCTAGTGTTTAAATTGTTGTCCCAGATCAGGGAAAACTGTCCACAGGGTGGAATCAGTGTAGTGGTCACATCTGGAATGTATTCAGCAGATTTAAACTAAATGTTCAATTTGGTTTTAAGCTGTTTTTAAAAGGGGTGACCCAACTTAGCATGCAACTCACTCTAAACCCATCTCCCCATTTAAAGAACTTCCCTTCTCAAATATATTCGGTGTGCTTACAGTAAAAACACCCTCCACCATTTCTCACTTAATCTCAAGCTTCAGAAATGTACATAAAAGCATACCTTTAAAATAGGAGAGACTACACCTTTTTCTCACTTATTTTTTTTCCCTGACTTTTGCTGAAAAACTTTGCCCCTCTGCTGCTTTTACTTTAATATAGACAATTTATAATCAATCATTAGGAAAACTTACTTCTGCTGTTGTTGTTCTGTGTCTTTTGGAAGCTTCAGGGCAGCCTGACAAGAGATAAAGTAAAGAAATATTAATACCCATATATAACCACAAAATGCTCATAGTATATATTTGTTATTCACAAACAATGCATACAAAAGACAGGTTTAACAACTGAAACTAGACCCATGCATGTTGAATAAAAGATTGCAAAAGACCTGATTAGTTAGAAATGCATTCTACAGTTGTGACCAAGCAAAATAAAATAAAAGTTTAAAATATATTTAGTAAATGTGAGAAGGGGGGGTGGGCACTCCTACACCACCCATGGAAAAGCACCTTGTCCCCTGCGGAGAGGGACAAGGGCATCTTCCCCACAAGCCCTGGGGCGTTGGTTGTGGGGGTGCGGGCAGGGGGGGGGCTTATTCACATCAGTGTACCCCTAATAAAGGGGCACCCAGATGCCGCCTTCCCCCCTGTGAATGAGTAAAGGGTATTTGTACCTCTACCCATTCACTAAAGGGTTAAATAAAATTTTAATAAAAAGTCCAGACTTTTTGAAACAAATCCCTTATTTGGAAAACAAAATACACGTTTTTGACAAGCTTTTTTTTTTTTAATATAAATAAAATCGATCCACCGATGTAATCCAACGTCAATCCCGACATCCAGCGTTGTCCATGATGGCTCAACAAAATTAAATAAAAAAATTTTTTTAAACACGACAAGCGCGGTCCCGTCGCTGCGACGAACACACGCCGCAGAATGACATTTTGACAGATGCCGGTAACATACACATTTGGGTGTCGCTAACAGTGACAGCTACCTCCGCCCAACTGTTTACAGTTGTAACAGGGTGAGCCATATTGGGAAAGTCGCTCAAACAGGTTGGGGAGGAAGAAGGGAAGCAGAGGCAGGTGTGCTACAGCCGTCATTTCCTTCTTCTTGCACTCTAGTGCCAAAGCTATTCAGGGAGGAATGTGGACTGCCATCCTTTTAAGCTGCTTGGCTATTTTTTGTGCTTCTCCACAACTCTGTTGGTTTCCGGCAACATAGGCAGCTCTAGATTGTTAATTGAGCCAACTGGTCGAGTTGCAGCATTCTGAGGCAGTTGCAACTATATCATTTTGCACAGTGCTGTTGGTCAACAGTGAACATGCTAACAGGAGGAAAGATCAAAGTGATGATTCATCTGTCTTCCGCTTCTCCTTTACTCTCCAATTACAAGCTGAGTAATTTGGTAACCAAGCTCAACTGATGTTGAGAAACAACATAGCCACAAACCTGGCTATGTTGTATGGCAACAGTGCTTTAACCTTCACAAGTCTGGTTGAATACAATTACCATTCCTTTGGTAGTTTAAACAGTTCATGTACTATATAGAAGCATCTGACTGGGAGACAAGCTATAAATAGTATGTCTATCCAAAATGTCAATGTTTTATGGTTTTGGATGAAAATCTGAACATTTAATAGTCTGAGATCTTGAAATTGTATTTGAATAACACCCCCCCCACCCCTTTCCTCAACCATATTTATTTTCGAACTTTAATGGAGGATTAGGACTCTGCAAATAAGTTAAGACATCACATAAAAATCTACAGATAAATTTAGCCCACCAACATCCTTGCGTGCTGGAAATAGATTCTCTTTTTTTATTGACATGACCCTTTAAGTTCAGGCCAAGCATGTGCCATAGGAATCTGACTAAAACACGTGAAGTTGATATAAAAATAACCTGGGGCTGTAACAACTAATTATTCTAACCACACTAAGACATTTGTGTTATTAGCTTTAGGACTTAAACAGCCCTAGATGGTAACAGAAAGCTCTTCTTTACCATGTAGCTTGCAAATGCATTCGAATCCGCATCTACGAGGTCCAGCAAATCTTCCAGCGCATTATGGAAAGAAGGAATCAGTTCTCTCATCACACCGTCCAGAGATTCAAACTGACGCTTTCCATAAGTCATCTGCCCCACCATGCAGCCCAAAGCAGCTCCCTGCAAAGGAACATTCATTAGATCACGCTGTGAGCCATGAGTCATTAAATTAGCAAAGGCTTCAGAAATATACATTACATAAATGTGCAATTATGTCAGTACCTCAAACAAAGAAATAAATACAAAAGGAAAGATAGACCATTGGTCTGAATAAAAGCCACAGACTTAGGTGTTAGCCCTGTATGACTTAATTTATGAGGGTGACATAGGCAATTAATAATAGTTTATAAGAAGTTATTGTGGTATAAGGGGGAGGGGGGTTGGCTCTTACTCTCTTGGTAGGTACTGGCAGGTCACTTGGCATTGCGCAAACTGTCCCACCCCATGAAAATGTAGGTGGCTTTTTGCACCAGGAATTATGTCATTGCCCCTTGACAGGACATTGTGTAGGGATTCAAAGGAGGTAAGAATTGCAGCCTTCGTCAGGTACCAATCATTCATGCATCATCAGGTCCCAATCAGTTATGCATCATCACCAATTGTGCCGCCAAATGGTACAGGTGAAAATTAGGAAAAGCAAGTCCTGCCATGGAACAAGGAAGCTGCGGCACCCCTAGAGCTTCCCTAGGAAAACAGCCCTACCAAAAGGATAGACGCAAGGTTAACACATATTTATGTCGTCACCCAGCAAGCAGCACTGACCATAATAGTAATAATCAAAAATCACTGCGCTGGGAATGAGTGACTCGAAATCTAAATAACTAAATAGACCAGCAGCAACTTTGTGTATAAGTGAGTCTATTATGTGGCAAATAAGTTGCGCTCGGTCTAGTTGTGAATGGATGTGAAAGTGCTCTCTCAAAACCCAAAAGGGGGAGATCACCTTCAGATAACAAAATAAATTTTAAATATAAAGTAGATGTCTCCACTAGTGATAGTAGCACTGACCATAAACCTCCTAGTAATTGGCCATGGAGCCACAAATATTCTTCACTCAGCATTATTTTATCTTTTTGCTCTAATGTTGTGGATACTCCCCAGCAGCAGACAGAAGCAAACACTGAGCTTGGGAAAACCTATAGAAAGCTGGACTATCATTTCAGCTTAGACTGATTACAGCCAGGTTAAGCCATATTTAAAAAAAAAAGATTCACTCCTCCTTAGGGCAGAATGGCTACAGATAGAATTAGAATTAGCATAAAGCTTCTTCACATGGTAGAAAGCATGCGGTGTTAATTCTGTCAATAGCGCCCCATGTACCCACCATAGCAGAGACAGCAGCCGAAACTGAGCCTCCACCGGGTGTAGCTGTGCGTGCTCCCACATTTTGTACAAACTTTTTTACTGTCTGTGTGACGAGAGCCCCAGAATACTCATCTTGTACAAGGTACCTGAAAATATACAGCATTTAGGTTTAATGCACACTTTGGTTATATTACAAAACATCAACTATATAGTAACTATATAGTGCTAGATAGTAGTTAAACAATGGCCTCTAATCAGTAGCTTGCAAGCTTCAAATGACACGCAGATCTTTTTCTGCTCAAGACTTGTCAATAAAACTTTACAATATACACACTGCATAGACACATAATTACAACTAGGTCCCATTCTTACTTGATCTACTGTTGTATACCCATAGATAAATCAGCAAATTAAAAATCTAAAACTTTTTTCCCATATATTTAAAAAAAAAAAAAAAAAAAAAAAAAAAAAAAAAACTTGATTGGCTGGGGGTTGAGAGTATAAACTTTATTACTTTTGAACCTAGACAAAAACGAGCACGTAACCTTTGCACTGTGGGGGTAACCTTACTGCAAGGGTTAATAAATTTTTTCCCCCTGGATTTCTTCTTTAAAAAGATAAAAACCATAGTACTCCACAACAGCTGGAGTACCGAGGTTGCCTATCCCCTGTGCAATGCTGTAGCTTTAGAGCAGAACAAGACTGAGAGAACACACATCTCCTTAGCGACGTTTCGAGACCATGCGGTCCTCAGGCAAACAGAGGACGTTTGCCTGAGGACGGGACCGCATGGTCTCGAAACGTCGCTAAGGAGATGTGTGTTCTCTCAGTCAATAAACAGCATTGACTTTAATATCATGGAGTGCGAGTGACTACTTTCATCTATCTACATTTTTACGGAGGCATCCGTTGTCACTACCGCACCCACCCAGTTGGATTTGGGTTTTTTGTCCGGTCAGGAGTGCGATGGGACAGGAGGATTAAGTTTCATGTTTTTATTATAAACTGATAAATTAAAAATATACAAGTCACATTAGTTGGTGCTCCAAGAACACAGCTATGAACTGTAATGTTTGTAGTCCACGACACCAGTAGTGTTTGGACATGCTTCATTAGGAGAGAGTGATGTTCCCATCATAGGCATGCACGGGGGCCTGGGCACTTCCTAATCATCCCGAGCACAACACCGTAGCAGCAGGCGCTGCTCAGTGACTATTATAATACAGGATTTTTATAGCGCCAATAGTTTGTGCAGCGCTTTACAATATAAAGGAAGACATTACAATCGCAATACAATTCAAGACAAGACAAGATGGTAAGGAGGGCCCTGCCTGTAAAAACGCTGGTGGGGAGATCAAAGATCTCTCAGTGACTGACTGCACTTGCCACTTACATTGCTCACATAACAGCCGCAGTCCTCGGTGCCTGGGAAGCTACAAGGGGCGTGGCTGCGACTTCCCAGGCTAACCATCCAATCAGGAAGCCAGGCAGGTGGTCACCACCTACCAGGCTCCCTGCTTCATTACTGCTGGAAAAGGTAAGGACAGTTCAACAGATGGAAATCCGGGATGCCTCAGGTGTATGTATGCATGGTTGCAAGTTTGTATCTTAGAGTGCACACCCTAATGCAATAGGCTGTGCACGCCTATGGTTCCCATGGGAAGGAGATCTACATTTATTTCAGTGAAAGCGAGAGTGATACAAGCAGGCACCTGGTTGCTTTACTATTAACCCGGTCAGTGCCCCAACAATACTACTACGCCAAATAGTCCCTCTCCCATACCATAAATAATGTTGTTAAAACATATTACATAAATAGCATAGAACACCATACACGTTTTGACAAATAAATCCTCGAACCATTTAAATCATTAGAAATAAAACTATTTATATCCACATTTATCCTTCAAGATGCTAGGATGTCTAACTGAAATACCATTTAGCTCCATTGCATGAAGTCTCTTGTTATATATTAGATCCTCTCAATTTCCTAACATTCTATCTACTGTATATCCCAAACCAGGAAAACCTCTGTGTTAGAACGATAAAACGGCCCCGTTTGTAAAATACCTTTTAATTATTTTTTCCCCTTGGTCATGCAGCTCACTGTTTAGTCCTATGCCACCCATATTGAAGACCACACGGACACTCCAAAATGTGAATTACATAAATTGTAAATCATCCACCATCATTCTTAGGTTTAAAACACAGCCTCCCCGCTTACATTATTCACCATCCTATACCCTAAATATAATTGTTCATTTCTGTTGGATTCACTATATTTGTCAATTTTTGTCAAAATAGGGGAAGCTCCTCTAAAAAAAAAACAACTTTATTTTAGAACGTTACTCAGCTCTTACAAAAGAGCCTTTCTATTGATCTTGGCTACAAAAACAAAACAAAAATCCATAATCTCTTTGCTGTAGGTGTGGTGCTATGCAGATTTCTCTTTACTTTCTGTCCTAGAGACAAAATCTAGGAACATCTCCCCAAACTGAGGGGGGATTCCCACCTTAGACCACAACATTTGTGCCCATTGGATGAATTACCCCAACTTATTGCTCTATTGACAACTCTAGAATTTTACATTTCCCCTTCCTTTGTCTTGATAACAATGGTTTCCTGGACAAATAGAGGGGTAAATACCCTGTGGTGACACAGACCGCAATAAGATCTTGGCAGAAGGTCTTTCCCAGGGGTGGGCAAACTCTGGTCCTCCAGCTGTTGTGGAACTGCAAATCCCATGAGGCATTGCAAGATTCTCACAGGCATGTCTCCCAGAGACAGATGCATGAGCTGCTGGATGGCAGCAGTTTGGAGGACCGCAGTTTGCCCACGCCATCCAAAACTAAAAAAAATTGAAGAATGAACATCACTGTGTACTTTGTTTTAAACACATATCAGCTATACCAACCACTTACTCAATGACTCTTTTCCTAGGTTCAAAGGGAGCCAAAGAATCCAGTCCAAGTCTGTTAATAACCTGTTATACACAACACTGAAAATTAGTTGATGGAAAACATATCTATCGGTGTAAAATAATGACAAGTTGAACTGCATGCAGTTATATTAACATTGCTGGGATCTATAAGATAGTCTTGGAATTATATGGCCTTTACAGTCCATAGGCACACCTCCCCTTATGAAATTTCACAGCCCCATTTTTCCTTTGAAAGAATGGAACACAACCACTACAAAACGATATTCCTCTACTAACCTATTTAAAACATTTAACATTGGAATTCATGTCTCCCAGAAACTCAAGGTGTGGTTACCATCAATATGCAAATCACATGTGGGAAACAGTTGCTCCCTGTTTATGTCCACATTACAGGTCTGGGGAAGTAAACTACACTTGGCCTAGAGCAGGGGAGGGCTATTCATTTTCTTGAGGGCCATACAAGAAACGAATTACTAACTGTTACAGTGCGGTAGGTGTGTTTCCATTTTTGTGGATGGCACAAACACCTCCTGGCCGCAATCACTTCTGGCTCCATTCAGCAGAACAGATGTTCTCTGGTCTCTCTCCCTGCTACACTCTTACACCTATAATGCCACTCCCCAGCCGGCATAAGGGGCAGCAGAGCCGGGGAAGCAAAGGACGGGGTGTCGAGCAGAGAGGGGACACTGTTTGAAGCGATGGAAGCGATCTGGTGGTGGTTTAGCTGCCAGAATCGCTTCCAGTGTGAAGCCACGTGGGCCACTGTGTCTTACTGCAGCCCTAGATTACAGTACAATGCAAAATTACTGTTTACAACATTCAACATTATTATTTCATATCAGACACAAGGGAAGGGGTTATGGGCTAATCAGCTAGATTGAAGTGGAAGCTGCGTTTGTGCAATTTAAAAACAGAACCTTCATGCTCGAGCGTGTTGTTGGTCATGTTGTGCAAGAAGATAGCCCCGTTTTACATTTCGTGTAAGCAGTGATCTGTAATGGGTAGTATATGTTACCAGGCGGATTTTGTGATCCTCTTCCAGCAAGAACAAATTTTCTTCTTTCATATAATACTCTGCAGACATCAACAGTGCTTTAAGGGGGATCAAACCAACCAACTGTGAACCAAGTATTGGAAGGCTCAACTCCTAAAACAGAGAGAAGTAAATGAAAATATACAGCTCCAGAAGTAAAAGGGAAGATACGAAGAGTGCTCAAAAAACAGGAATGGACAATATGGTAAAAAGGAATTTAGAATACTAAAATGCAAGCACTATTGGGGTCTGTTAATCGCACGGTACTGCACAACGCACCTACCGTGAAAACCTAGGGGAAACAGGAGTGGATGCAAATTCCATTCCAGCTGAAATTCCTCCAGCAAGGTCTAAACATTTAACGACGACTACCCCGAGATGGACTTTTTTTTGCTCTAAAAATCTATGATGAACCCTATAAATTGGTCCCCTGCCTCCAAAAGGAGGTGTGCATTGCTCATTTCAGACAAGTGTGCATGCAGACCCACAGATATACTCACTGCAGGGCCAGTGTTGCCTGTTAGAATGTCAGAGAAAATCTAAATACCTAAAAGAAATTTAAAAGCATCGGTTTGAAGTTTGGGCTAGCTGACCCACCAATTACAAGCTTTTTTTGTCATTTTGGGGTACTACAGGAGGTAGCGAATTAAAATTCAAGGAGGTCCGCGGTCAGCCATTTAGGCTGCATTCACACCAGCAGCTGTACAACAACGCACAGCTGCTGGTGTTTGTTCCCAGGCACAGTGCTGATCCACCAATCCCGGCACATCACACGGTTTACTTTTTTTGTGCGACTTTACCGGCCTTGGAGGCCCGTGTATTCTGTCAGCAAGCCATAACCTAGTGAAAGTCAGCAATTTCAGTCCAGACAGAACAGTGTGTGGACTGTGATCTGCCATTTAGGGACATGTGGTGTAGTATTTGGTTGAAAAAAACTGGACTCAAATAAACCATAACAATTCCCATACACAGTATTTTAGGAAAGGCTAAATGCCCAGAAGAGTGGATACCTTGGCATCCTTGCGTGTTTCCTCGTATACCACATGTAGTGGAGTGACCTCATAATCCAGTAAATTCGCAGACACTTGTGCCATGTTCTCTTCCTGAAGATACCATCCAATAGCCTGCACTTTTTTCAGACGACCAGGCTAGTAAAAAGGACATAGTAATATTTAGGTGGCTGAGGACTATCCTCGTGTATTTTTCCTAGTATACATGACAGCTTCATTTCATCTCAAGAAACAAAGTACAAGAATAGAATAGCCTTATTTTAAAGGGGTAGCTGTAAACCTGGATTGTACACACTAGCATGCAGATAGGAAACAGATCGTATAATCACAGATCGTAAATCACAATTTTCTTTTACAAGGTCTGTATGGATCATCCATTTTGAATAGCTGAACTGCAAAGCAGTAGCATCTTCTCTGCAGTTTGCCATGTGGCATAAGTGTGTCTGGGAGTGTTTTTGGGTTGGTAGGATTTAAACTAAGTAACCCAGCCCAAAATAATCCTGTAAATCGAGGTTTTAAAACATAACCTTTGATTCACTAAAATGTGCTAGATTTCCTGCTTGAAACAGAGTAAAATATATTTGGTACTATCCTGGCAGGCCTGAGAAATCATTGCCTGGCCATGTAGAAAAGTTTATTTTCTTTCTAATTATATTTTTAGAGCACTTTTCTCCTGGACACTTTATCTGCTATCAGGGCAGATGGTGAGGCAGTCATCTTGGGCATGCTCAGTCGATTATCACACTAGGAACAATTTTAGAAAGAAGCCAATTAAACTACCAGCATGTCTTTGGAGTGTGGGAGAAAACCGCAGTACATTGAGACCACACAAGCACAGAACACACAGATTTTATGCTAATAATGTCCTGATCATGGCTGAAACTGTCCATCCACATAAGTGACAGTTGGGCAGTATGCCTATAGCCACTGTACCAGATTAGATAAATCTGCTGTTTTAGGGGACATAGCAAGGATCATGTACACAAACTGCATATAGATATAGGGCTATAAGAATATAAGATGCAGTCATAATATTCAACAAAGCACAATCATTTCCCTCTCACCTGTCCTTTCCCACGACCTCCTTCTCTAATGTTCAGGGCAATGCGATGAGCCAGTTCTTTGGTAGTCAGTAAATTAATATTATATGCAATAAGAAATTTACGAGCACCACTTGCAGTTGCCCCCCAGCTTGGAACAAACACTGAATCTCCATAATCTGGACTCCATTCTGGATTTTGTAGCTACATTAAAAACAAGGAAAGCTTCAAATGTGGTGGAACACAGACAAACAGCACTAACAGAATTCAAAATATTATAAAAAGCAGAAAACATTGAAGATAATATAATTGCCAAATATTTATAAAATGATTGCATCTTTAAACTAGCAAACACATGAGTCGTAAAGGGCAACGGAAAAAAATAAACTAAAAAAAAAGGTTTTTGGTCAATTTAGGCACTTTTGATTATTCCACCCAAAAACACTTGCACAGCTGTAAGAGCTAACATTTACTCTAAAATCCTCTCCCCAGCTAGCTAATGGGCTCTCAATAGGGCACCAGGGAATCCAGCTTGGGTCTTATAACACTACTACTCAAAAACCATTTCAAGGAAAAATGTGTACAAAAAAAATTTGGAGGCTGTGATTGTGGAACTTCCTTTTTTGACAGTACTGATCTCATAGCTTGAATATCCAGAGTCATTGCCCCTGAACATGTAGGTTTAGAAGCTCTGACTTTTCTGATCTGTACATTTATTAAGTTTATAACAAAAAAATAATATGAATACAATTGAGAGCAAAGCATTGCCTGCAAACAAACATGACCCATTCTGAAAACTCTATGTACCTTTGTGGGAAGGGCTTCATACTCTCCAGCTCTCACAGATGGAAGAGCTCTTCGACTTTCACTGCGAGCTGCCTCTCCATACAGATAAACTGGATAATAAAGTACACAAGAAATGGACAACAGAAGCAGACCTACTGCACATTTTACAACATCATTCCAGCACACCAAAACACAAAATTAGATGCTTCTCGTTCTCCATGCTATGTTTTCAGTGGAATCTATTAGCCTCTTATCTTCTCCCAAATTAAAAGAAGTTGCAATAGTCCCAGCTGAGCTACGGTGTATTCTGTGACCACTAAGCAGATTACTCTAATTTAGCAAAAATAAAAAAGGTTGTTGGCCCCAGAAATGGCCAGTCAACCAATTCACACACAAAAAAAAAGAAAAAAAAACACCACACGTAAACAAACAGAATGTTGTTTGCCTTATGAACCGTCAATGTCTGCAATAAAAGCTGGTGCAAGCATATTTGTCGGTGACCTTTTGTTTTAGGCTAAGATGCAGTTGGATCCTTTAGGCAGCAAAACAACATTATCAGCATCTCCTTGAGTGTGAATACAAAAAAACACACAACAAATACAAACACACCAATCATAACAATATTAAAGTTATATTATAAGGGTTCATGTACAGAGATGTTCAAAGCAAATCAAACACCACATCCTTCAGACACTCAGTAAAAAGGTCTTTGATTGGAGAATCTTCCAACTTGGTTCTATTTTCAGTCACATTGACTTAAGGAAATAAAACGGTCAAAGACCATTGTACAAAAAAAAAAAAAAAAAAAAAAAAAAAAAAATTTTTGT